AAAAAATTTTTATTGATGAAAGAGATAGTATTTACAAATAAAAAAAAAAAAAAAGTAAAAGGATACACGCGGAATTGTGCGAGAAAATTCGATCTAACGAATTTTTTTTTTTTGATGCATTATTTATGATCGCCAGTGTATCCAAGATTTTAGGTATTACTTTCAGTTCCATTCGAAGAATTAAAATTTCCAGTGATAGAATTAAGATTTCCGTTGTTGATAGCAAGGATGAATACAGCAGGTAGAATTATGGCAATAAGTGATAAAATCATCAAACAAGAACTTGCTTGTGCAGCAGTCGAACCAAACTCTTGCTCAAGTTTGCATTTTTTACGATCAAGCCCGCCAGCGAAATCCTAATACTAGTAGGTTATTAACCCAAAATCGATGTTTGAACAACACGAATTTGATCATTCTTCAACGCTACTATAGCTATTATTAATTCTATGGCATTGTAAATGTTACATTTAATAATTCTCCTAGCTCTTTATTAGGATATTTGATATATAGAATAATGAGTATGGTAATCGGTAAATTTTTACGCGCATGCTGCGCATGAAGTACACATAGCCGGCATTAAGCAGGATGGTTAACTGGCCTGAATTATAAAATCCATATTAAAAATCCTGCACAAGTAGCGCGGCTTATAATGATACTTGAAGAATAACGAAACCTTTCGTTAAGCAATTTTGAGTGACGAATTGACGAATGACTTATAACGATCATTATTTTCTTTCATAATGAAATCAATCGGTCCATGCGAAGAAAATTTTTCTTTGCATTATCATATCTATCCTATGATATATCATTCTTTTGACATTACTCGATGAAGGCATTAATCACCCAGAATTTCCGATAGGTTTGACAAAGGAAACTACCGAAAATAAGAAAATACTAACGTTCAGATTCCTTGTAATGCAAATTAAAATTAACTTTATACAAGCTTATTAATTTTTTGTGAAGCAATTTTTTTTTGAACTGATAATGATTTGATAGGAGAAAAGTTTGTTATCAATTAAATTACAATATTTTTCACATGGACCGATGAAATTTTATAATAAGAAAAAATGTAATTCAGAGGTCTCATAAAGAAACTCGTTAAACTATTAATTGGTCAAATTGATTCGTCAGGGTTTCATTGATCCTCAGTAGTTTCGTCAATATACCGTCATCATAAGAATTGTTTGTCAGGCATCATTACATAGCAGCCTTACTACCCATCCCTTGTAGTAATTATTATTTTATTCAGTATAAATGACCTTACTTGTAGCAAAATTAAATAATCGACTACATAGAAGGTTCATAAAAAAAAATTAAGAAGTCATTCGTACTAAGGAAGTTTATTATATATCCAGCAGGAACGAGCACCAACAACACATTGGTTCTAGAACAAAAGAAGTTTTTTTCAATAGTTTGGGACAAAGATAGGTTTTTTTTCTGTGTATCCTCAGCAATTTGTAAAATTGACAATTTTTCATTATTCTTTTTTTACTAGTGAAATCGCAGCCACCCATTAAGTGAAAATTGTTCCTGGGCCAATTTTAGGGTAGTTTCAATTAGAGTGAACCCAGTGATATCTTTATGATCATCCCATCACATGATTAAACACTCGGCCTAAGTTAGGGTTAGTGCTATGGTTAGGTGATAGTATAGTTTAGGCCAAATTTGTTAGTGCTAGTAAACAAGAGACGTCATTCCGTGATTTCATATGATTTCATGTTATGTTATGATCACTGGGTTCATTGTTCTTTAAGTGTCCCAATTTTACTGTAATGCGGGCTCATTTTTTAAAAATTTCTATTTTTGTAATGAAAAAATTAAAAAGTTAATTCCGGCCGGAAATTAGTAAAAATTATATAATGCGGGCCAAAATTTTGAAGATCCTCGGCCGTTAGCCAATTAGAATAGAATCGTCACCCAAAAAAATTTCAAACTATATTTCGAAATAAAATTTTGGTTTGTTAGATTAGGGTTAGGGTGTTGCTTCTAGGTTAGGGTTTAGAGTGCTTTATTATATCAAAATTTTGCAAGGAAAATTTTTTACTAATGCGCAGAAGGCTCTTTCATAGACTCATTTTTGCGATTTTTGACAAAACGAACGTTGTTTTGAATTTTCCTGTTCGTGCTACGTTACACATGATCTTGAAATTCGATTGGCCATTGAAATTTTTTTGGGTGGCGATTTTACCCCAGTTTCAAAATCGAGGCATTTTTTCTGATGACTTACTGCGTAAGTCAACTTGAATTAGATTTGTGGAGGCGTGCCTCCGTAGATCATGATGTCATGTAAAATCACGAATATAAAGATACATTAGAAAATATAACATTAGGTAGCTGCGCGACATTGTCATGCTAAAACCAGGAACTGGAATACTTCGTGCTGCTATATTATTTTCTGACACTATCGCAAAAATGTTAATTTTTGCAAGAGCAAATTCGAAGGAAAAATCGCAGGTTAAGTAAATTTTTAGGTTAGTAAAATCAGTAAGCATATGTTGAGACAACTGTATAAGTTGTCTATCGAGCATTTGAATGAAGGTTTGCAATAAGCGATGTAAAGGATGCACGTAAAAGCGATATCGCGATATCATTTATATATATAAAAAATAAAATGTAATTTAATTATTAGACAGAAATTTAAAATTTAACCATGTAATTATGTGTTATCGTGCAAGCTCATATGATCATGGCTTTTTTTTGTTACAATATTTTTATGCACAAACCATTACACAAGCCGATATTCACGTTTGCACAAATATTAAAGCATTAAACAAATGTTTTATTATGTATTAAAAGCTAAATGCACTATTTATTACATATTTTTATTTATTTATTTAATATTAATGCTATCCGAAGTTAAAAGTGCAATTATGAAACACATTTCCGGTAAGAAACTTTTCAATTGCTTCTTTATTCATTTGCGATTGTAGACCCTTATTTTCTTTATCAATTTGACCTTCTATTTGTTTTGGGTCTTCGGTTTTGTTTCTTAAATCCGCATCACTTTCCTTTTCTACATTTTGATCTAATTCAATCAATGCATTTCGCGGAGATTCGGGTAAGCCAGTTGTTAAAAATTCTTCAACCGTATCAAACGACTCATAATGACTTGCTAACACAAAATCACTACATATTTTTGCAGAATTTTCAGCTTGAACGGTTATTTCATTATTATCATGAACTTGTAATTCGGATAGTGAGGAATCAGCAACAAGTGTCAATGCATTGAAAAATCCATTTAACCCTTGTTGCTGCATTACTGATTTAGGACGCTCATACGATGCCAAGCCTTGTAGTGTTCTGTGGCATGTGATGGACATAACAACTGAATTGGAATAACCCAATTCTTTTAATACTTGAACGGCGGTCTTACGACCTGAATGGTTTGATATATTTCTATCTCCAATCGTTATATTTGTAGCTTCACAGATTTGAAGAAAATATTTTTTTAATATACATTCTGGCAAAGCACGAGTATAATACCACTGTGTGTTAAACTCAACTTTATAAAAAGAGTTTTTTTTTATTAATAAATTTTATATATTACAATTTGTATAATAATTACAAAATCAGAAGATTCAAAATTTTTAAATAAAATTAAAATTAATAGTATATAGCAACAATACTTACTAACATCAGGTGTACAGGGTTTTAAATAGAAGTTCATAATGGCAGTTGTTGGACGGTTTACAAAGTAAAATTCATAATCATCTACAATGCTTTTTATATTCGGCAAACTAATTGTTTCAGCTTGTGCATCACAATTGTTCAAGCCTCGTTGATTTGTTTTTGACCGGAATATCTTAACGTTGATTCCACCATCAAATCGCTTTACGAAGTTACTAATCTTGAGGTCTTGGTGTTCACCACCAAGTAAAGCAAGTAAAATAGAATTATAAAAAAAAATGCGACGTAGTAAACCTTCAGGAGAGGTACGTTGCATAGTTGGATGTTCTAGGATCTGCTCAACTTTGTTAATCGTTAGACTATCTGCACCATTTCGTTCACCTAATCCCATTAAAAAGAGTCTTCATTTTTCCATTAATGACTGTGTTCAATTCATAAAATTTTTTTGGATTTAAAATGTCCACTGGCTTTTTTAAACCCGAATTTTCATTGAGGTGATACCAAATTGCAGCCATGCAATTTTTAATTGAAGATGTACAGTAATCTTCACCATCTCTATGTTTCATAGCATACACAAATTTGCATAATTGGTCTTCTAAGACCATCTTTGAATCTACACCTTCAATTCTACTCTCATATCCCACATCACTACGAAAATTCTTCAAGACTTTTACTCACACTTGGGTTGCCCTATGTGTAGCTTGCACTTTTGAACTTTCGCAGATTGCCTTTAATTCTTCATACGAAGGTTCAACATACTTAAAAGTCTATGAAATTTAAGTTACTTGATTTAGTAATGTTTATTTTCCTAAATAACAATTCAACACAAGTATAAAAAAAAAAATCAAACCTTAGTGCTTACATGGGAAGTTTTTTTGGTTGATTTCGGCATTCTTTTTTTTTTCCAATTACTACTGGCAAACTTCCCTTTAAGTTTCTTTAGGTATTTGCACAGCAAAATGTAGTGAAAGTATAAACCTCTAGCAAAAGATGATGAAACTTTTGAAGAAAGGAAAAGCCACTGGAACCAACATCAACCTTAATCAGAAAACTAACAAAGGTAAAAAAAAAATTAATTTTTAAATGATTTTAACTTCTAAAGGTAAAAACTCTCAACATACACTTTATTCAAATTATAAAAGAATGATTTAATTCAAATTACAAAAGGAACGGTAAATATCCACATTAGAGAATTTCTTCTCAAGCAATTTGAAATTTTTTTTTTGATTGATCATCTAATCTATTTATACTAATGATGACGTATTAGGTGACAATTTTACTACGCCATGATCATAATTGCACGATAACATCGATATTGGTTATGTGTTGATAAATAACGTGAAATTTGTTTAACCGAACAAATGATTGGCTGACACATGCTGCTTCGCGGCACATGTCAGCCAATCATTTGCCCGGTTAAACAAATTTCACGTTATTTATCAATGCATAACCAATATCTTATATATATTATAGCATGTTATTACACAAAGTATAGTATACTTGTAACACATATTAAAAGTATAGCATTACATGCCCTTTCACATGCTTTGAATATACACTGTCCTGTATATTTTTTACAAATTAACGTAGTCTCATACTCAAAGTTCCATGTATTATGTAGTAATTACTTATAGAAAAGTTGAAGGCTGAATATTTGACTAAGAATTGAGTCTAAAATTTGAGGATTGCTGCACACTCGATTGTTCGATTGCCAATCGATTGTATGTGATTGTATGTGATTTCTCAGCAACTATTTGAACAAATTCTATATTTTATTTTTATCTGAATTTTATGAATCTATAGAATTCAATTAAAAAATTAATCAAAATTGATCAGTTGGTTGCTGAGATATCATCTCTCAAAGTTTTTTTTTTTTTTTTTTGAACAGTGACCTCATTGGCCAGCTCAGTGTTTGATTTATTGAAGATTATTGTTTCTGTTACAATAAGAGTACATCAAGCCACATGTGCACTTTTGGTGCCTAATTTAAGTAGTCCGCATCTAAGCCATTTTACTTAGAGTTCTATACTATCTGCTATACCTGCAACTTAAATTATAGGGCTACCTATTTAAACTCTCTAATTGTAACTTACTTCTGCAGTAGAACCTCCAATACCCAAACTATGTTTAGGCCTTAGAGCTAATTTACCTTTGAGGTAATATCTGGCTAAGGTAGTACATGTCTCACACATATAGCAACTACTTAGTCTTACTGCCATAGCTTTACCAGTGTACTTAGGGTCAGGGCTAACTATTGAACCCCTATAATTACCTGCTCTTGTTTGGTTCACACAACCCTGATACTCATATTCAAATCTTTTTTTTCTTTGGATTCTTTATCAGTCCCTTCCTTGCTTCCAGCTAGCAACCTGAAAGGGTCAGTCTGTCTAGACTTTAGGTGCCTCACAGTTGCCCTCCTCTTGGTACATACATTCGGAGAATATGTTCTTTTTCTCTGGCACATCTACCTAGCAGTTTGGCTAGTATGTTCAAATTGGTCTCTCAGTTCTCTGATCTTGGTCTTCTGTTTCAAATTTAGCCTTCC